AATAGGCCCTTTAGTCCAAGAGGAGGATTGATTGGTCTCTAAAATGGGATTTATAGGGGTCATGGTTTTATAGGGTGCTGATACAACTGTTAATTATAAAACATTTGGCCTCAATTGCTGCTGTTATTAAACCTGTCCTGATTGAGGCGCGCTTGATTTATCTTTTTACATCATGTGACAAAATGCAAGTGTTTGGGAAATAAACCTTTAACGGGATGAAACGGCTCCTGCAGGAAAATATGATCTTCAGCTGCAATCTAACGCAGAGCTTTGACTCAAACCAGTGATCCATGGCATTGAAACACTCCTGTTGGTTGTTTTACACTTAGAGGTGGTATTAAAGCCCCCTCTTTTAGGCCTACAAGGATACAGCTGTGTTTCCTGAAGTGGACTTTTATATTTTAACTTAAGTCCATAGCTATATTTTCTACATGTTTGCATTGGGTAATAATACAGTTAGTTATGTGATAGTCGATTAAATAACAGGTTTGGATATGATTTTGTGCTGCTGAGAAGGCAGTCAGTCAATGAATAAATCAACATTTAAAGGCAGTGCTGGACCCAGCATATTCAGTGCCCTAGGCAAGCTCCCCCTTTGTTTTTTTTAGCCCAAAATGGCTTTAGCTTTTTATATTTTCTCATTTTTTCATCATACACATCGTTCCATCATGTGTTACTTTTTTAATGTCAATTTTTTAATTTTCTATTTATTTATTTATTTATTTATGGGGTGGGGGGTGCCTATGTCATATATAGGAAGATCTGCCACTGTATAAAGTAAAAAGGAAAAGAAGTTATGAAGCACCACATCTACATTTAACTACATAACTGACTTTTACAATTAAAATACAGTAAAAAGAAAATGTGGAATATTCAAGCAAGGCAAGTTTATTTTTGCGAAACGTCCCAAAATTAAAATTTAAAATGAAAATTAATTCCTGAAGTACATGAGAACTTCCCTGTGATGTTTTTTAAATTGAATTCAAGGGTTTTAAAATAAAATGTGCCTCTTTACATTATGCAGATGTGTCCACAGTCTCCAGTCTTTGTGGCAAAATGAGTGACGCTACACTTTACCATTTACCAACCAAATGCTTATTAAACGTTATTTCCCAAAAAGGAAAATCCAGTGGCATCAGCACCGTGTTAAATAATCCATCAGGTTCGGGTTCACCTGGTGAGTTGGGACTCTTAATGACTTGAACCTGAAGCGCATTAATGTTTCAGGTTAAAGGTTTGTTTAAACAATTGAGCGCATATCAATGAGGCCCGGGTAATTTGTATCCAACAGTAATAATAAAGAGCTCGCCTAAAATTACCGCTGAAATGTCTAATTAAAAACTCCTCGCTGCTGATCCAGCCACGTCAGCTCACGTTTCCCCCGGAATAAACAGCGACAATGGCTGCATTCAAGTCGGCGGTCTAAATAATTAAAAAGAGAGGAATAATTACAGTATAAAATTGTAATTATTGGCGGGGGCTGCGGGGGAAGCCTCTTGATGGTGAAAGAGGAGAGGATGCGCTTAGGATCAGGTTCAGCATCAATATTGCAGGGAGGTAAAACTGGCGAGCTCAGGCTGCACACAGGCTCATGATGCTTCATACAAACTTCATACACCAGATTAATACACACACACACACACACACACACACACACACACACACACACACATCAGTCCAAGTGTATGGAGTGTTTATTTGCTGCAGTGTCACTTCATTCATGATAAACTGTCCACAAACGCACCTGTTTGCCATTTGTTTGGTTTCTCTCCGCTGCCGTCCTTGACACCTCCCACAATATGTATTTATTCATGTATTTACAGTGACTCAGTAGACATTAGCAGCATAACCTTAAATTATTCTGCGGATTATGTGAAACCAATGCACACCACCCATAGGTGTAGATTTCAGGGTGGACGCAGGGGGCACGTCCCCCTCAAATTTTATAACATCTCCCATTAAATACATGAAAGTATCACTTTGACTAAATTAAAGCAAAATTAATACAAAAAAGCAAAAATTTGTGCATAAAATTCACTAGATTAGTGGAATTAAGTGTTTGATGCACAAAATTTTCTGTCAGTGGAGCCCCTATTCCCCTGTTACATGTGTGTGTGTGTGTGTGTGTGTGTGTGTGTGTGTGTGTGTGTGTGTGTGTGTGTGTGTGTGTCCAAAATTGAAAGTAAACCCTCACCTTTGATACCAGCTCTATGAGTTTGAAAGACAGGGCCAGTTTGAGACTTTCTGGGGCCCATGGTGAGATTTTGCTCACTGCCCCCCCCCCCCCCCCCCCCCCCCCCCCCCCCCCCCCCCCCCCCCCCCCCCCCCCCCCCCCCCCCCCCCCCCCCTCCCCCCCCCCTCCCTCCCCCTCCCCCCCCCCCCTCTCCCCCCCCCCCCCCCCCCCCCCCCCCCCCCCATGTCAAATACACTTAATGCATAGCCTACTTTATTTTATGAAAAATATCTGCTGATGTTATTCTATATTTTTGTTATTGTCAACAAACCCCATGAAAAGACCAAAACTAACAGTGCTTCAGTCCGTCTCTTTTGAACACCCTGTCTGTCGGTTCCTATTGAAGGTGTACTGTACGTCTTAAAAACAGGTCACAAATGTAGAGCTTTAGTAGTTTTAAGAGGATGAATAATTTCCTTAAACAGTTTGCCACTATATTGTTTTAGTAGATGTTACATAAACTGAAGGACTATTGTCACCAGTGAATTAATACAGGAGTATTTCTGGCCACAGGACAGAGTGTGTGTGTGTGTTTGTGTGTGTGTGAGACTCATATTCAGACAAAAGCTTAGATTCATTGCTGGGTTTTATTTTTTATAAGACTTGGTGACAAATACGGGATACAACCCTTAAGGGTCGTCCACATTAAGAACAATAGCGTGATCATCCTCAGGTCATTTTATTTGGTGTAGTTGTGGTAAGGAAACTTATTCTACTTATGTGGAAGTCAGACCTTGCACCAACATACAGCATGTGGATAGGAGTGCTGATGAAAGGTTAAGGTTTTCTAATAAGAATAAGATTCAAATATTTGTCCGCAATATTGGTCTAGCAGTAGACCCTCTATCGCTGTGGAAGCGATCAAGTGAAGTCCTAAGACTTGTTTGTTTTTCTACCTGTGAAGATATTTGTGACTGAGTTGTTGAATTGAAGCACTGAGCGTTTGTTTTATGTTGAAAATCCTAAAATAAAGGTTAAAAAAAATTATTATTTGAGCACCCACAATGATGAACGGTAACAAATCTGTGAAAAGTGGCACCAGGCAAACACTGCATGCTCCAGCTGTGTCAGCATGGATTTTGATTTGCTGTCAGTGTCTCTATCGTTCATCATATTCCTTTGAATGTGATATTGTTTGCCACTGCCGTTGTCATTAAAGTTGTGGTGTGGACTCCACCATCCACTTGCGTAAAATCTATTTTGTAAAACAATATATTCTTATAGTTAAAGTTATTGGCGTGGACGTCCCTTAATCCTCTAATGCTTACCTCAGAGTGAATATCGTCCTATCAGAGCACACCTTGAACACAAGAATGAAGTCACACAATAGAAGGCTGGTGATTTGACTGCTGCGTTTGTGTGATGTTATTACTTTAAACTTTGTGCTGACAGTGTACCTGAAGAACTAGATGTAACAAAGAATGTAACATTGTTATAGATAATAAAACTGCTCATGTGAATAAACATGTATAACCAGCAGTGTGGTGGAGGATATCCTCTTAATCTGGCTGCATACAGTAAACCCACCTGTCAGCCAAAAGCCGTTGGAATATACAAGAGAATATACCCACTTCCTCCTCAGTAACCTTCCCATCAACCTCATCAACCACCACTACACCACTGTGTATAATCCTACCAATACTGGATTTTTAAACTTGATACCAGTATTTGAGAGTTAATAGATACGTAACTTAACTTTTCAAACACCATTAACATGAACAAACATTGTTGATACGGATCCCTTAAATATGGTTTATTTTGTTCATAAGAATTGTGACCAACATGTGTATTTAGTGGGCTATTTAACAGTCGAAAAATTAACCTGTCAGTTGTCTTAGATGTATTTGGCACTTCTTATCAGCTTGCAGATACACTGACATCAACATATCTGCAATACTAATATCAGCCTGCTGATTTATCAATCTATTTCTAGTCACAGGATGGAGGAGGAGATTTACTGTAGGGTTTATTCCATGGAATATTTAGGCTGATAAAGACCTGATAAAGACTTCATGCACCTTTAAAATAAAACCAAGCCACTGGAGGGGAAAGCTTCAGGTACAAACACCACAGAGTGTATAAAATAAACACCCAGGAGAAGGGTGGGGTCCTGTAATTTTGAAGGCGTGGCTCTTTTTCCATTCATACATGATGTCAGAAAAACAAAATTCATGACTGCTTTTGCCATTTCCTCTCTCCACTCAGTGGTCAAACACTGTCTGTCTGTCTGTCTGTCTGTCTGTCTGCCTGTCTGTCTGCCTGTCTGCCTGTCCACCTGCTGCAGGTATTGACACGTCTCTCTGTAGGGGACAGAGGGGACATTAGCTTGGTTAAGCGATCAGCATTGATCCGGTTTTTAATAATAAATTAGGGTCTTCGAGGACAGCCAATCGGCTTCACTGCCACCATTTACATCACTGACATAGGACTGCATAGGAACTTTGTGTGTGTGTATGTGTGTGTGTGTGTGTGTGTGTGTTTGGCCTGGGGCATCATCATCATTGTCGTCATCATCCTCAGTTCATCCCAGATTCACTCCATTTTCATCGCACAGAATTTGAACCGAAAACATTTTAAAACGCCTCCAAATGATTTAACGCACGCAAAAAAGTCCTTTATTTATTTTCCCCGTCCTTCATTTCTTCCTTCCACACTCTTCTTTTATCGCTCAGGCCTCAGATTGATTTCCGTGGCCGGTGTGGAAGCCTAACAGATGGTGGTGTAACTTGATAAATGAGCCCGGGCCTTTTGTCAGTCTTGCTGCCCTGCAAAGTGCCACTCGGCGCTGCCTCGTGTTTGTCAGCTCGCTCCTGCTGCGGTGGAAATAATGCGGGATATGAAATGATCACAGCTGATCTGATGCTTAAAAACACACCGTGCGTGATCAGCCAAGTCCAGTGTGGGGTTAAGGGTCCTTTAAAGGGTCTATGAGGTGGCCCACTGTCACAGTTTTACTCTGCTTTCGCGTCTTTGTGCAGATATTTCCAAAAATCTATGTCGCATTTATCTTAATTATATGTAGGCCCTATGTATACCTTATGACAAATATATTCATGCATGAGTGTTAAGGCAAAAATGATTCCCCATTCTGGGGTCAGCAGGGGCCTAATGGGGCGTGACAGCTCTCTGTTTCCGATCATGTTTGTGCGTCAGAGCTGCAAAATTGTGAATTATCAAAAGTGGTGTGTAGCTGCTCAGCACGTCTTTGAGGGAAAGAGAGAAGGAGGGAGAGCTATTACACATCAGCACGACAGGATAGAGAGAGTGTGTATGTGTGTGTGTGTGTGTGGGAGTGTGTGTGACACAGAGAGAGGGAGGGAGGGAGACAGAGAGAGGTGCCATGTGCTTCCTGTCTACACGCCATTCACCTCCCCGGGATCCAGCGGGATGGAGGTCCTGTCTGCTGCTGCACTCAGATAAACTGAAATAAAGACTCCGACTCAGAGTTCCTGCTGTCAGACCGTTTTGTCTGTGGCATCATCATTCTCTGGACTCACCGGGCCTGCATTTATATCACTTTATTCATATTAATTATATTTTATTTTTCATCCCAAACCCTGTTGGAGTGAGTCGTCTTTTAAGGAGAGAAAGGTATGTTGCTGTTTTTGTTATTAATTATAATTTAGACAGAATTGATGATAATTTTGCTGTATTTTTTTTTTTTTTTTTTTTTTTTTTTTTTTTTTTTTTGCATTTTCTTATTTAAACTCGTCTAATTGTGTTTAATAAATCACCCTAAATACTTAAATTCATGTGAGCTGTGTATAAAGATCCATTAAAGCCGCTGCGGGCTGTTCTCATGTCTTTACGCGGCCTCCGTGTTGACGAGATGTAAAAAGTAAGTATGCGCAGGTGAACGTGAGATAGGCCTGCCTCAACCTAATTTCGAGCAACTGGCTGAGGCTAATCTGCGCAGAAGCTTTAATTATATATAGGGCTAGTCTTTTATTAACAATGCGAAGACGCGCTCGTGGATCTGTGTAATTACCAGGAAAGCAGCTTATAGTTGTTCTTTTCCTCTCTGCTAAGCGCATTGGCGCAGCTCAGGCTGCATTTTCCTTCTGTCCTTATCCGCGTATAAGGATCTTATGTGACCCTTAAGTAGTTGCCCCATAAGTATCTGAGCCGATTTTGGAGATAAGAGGAGCAGCAGAGCCACCTCTGCCGCGCAGGAACCCGGATAACCCGAGAGAGGAGGCCGAATACACGGAGGAATAAATAAAGCCATACGAGAAATGATTCACAAGACGTCTGATTGATTTCACTTTTTAATATAACCTCCTGCAAAAGCCTCATGTTAGTTATATTTGGTAATTTTTTAAAATACGTTATGTAGCCTATATTATTATTATTATTATTATTATTATTATTATTATTATTATTAATGTCCCATAAATATCAGCACTTACAGGCCTACTGCTGCCACAGCTACTTTATTATAGTAATAATCATTATTATAGTAATGATAAATGTTGTGTTATCATCTCTATTTGTCAGATATTGTGGATAAAAACATGATAATTTCCTCACATCGTTTATATTTCTAAATTTTTTAATTTGGAAACCACATTTTTGTTTTCATTTCTTTGACACGTTTACATTTTTCTTTTTTTTTTAGTGCCGTTTTAATAAGTTTTTGTCACTTGCTGAATAATTTTAAGATGATTGTGCATCCTGTCAAACATTCCCCCGGGGCTCACTCCTGTTTCCTCTCTGCCTGACAGGCTTCCAGGGATGGAGTCGATGCCCGGACAGCTTCGAGACGCGGGACGAGACGCCAGCTCTTCCCCCAGCTTAAAGCAGGACGCACCGAGCTTCTCCGGCCCCAGCTCCCTCAAACCAAACCAAGTGAGTGAGACCTCCTTGTACGGGGTGCCCATCGTATGTCTGGTCATAGACGGTAAGGAGAGACTGTGCCTGGCGCAGATTTCTAACACCCTGCTGAAAAACTACAGCTACAACGAGATACACAACCGTCGGGTCGCTTTGGGCATCACCTGTGTGCAGTGCACCCCCGTCCAGCTGGAGCTCCTGCGGCGCGCCGGGGCCATGCCCATCTCCTCCAGGCGCTGCGGCATGATCACCAAACGGGAGGCCGAGAGGCTCTGCAAGTCCTTCCTGGGAGCGCACAGCCCCCCAAAGCTCCCGGAAAATTTCGCATTTGACGTGTCTCATGAATGCGCCTGGGGCTCCAGAGGCAGCTTCATCCCCGCCAGATACAACAGCTCCAGAGCCAAGTGCATCAAGTGCAGCTTTTGTAACATGTATTTCTCCCCGAATAAATTCATTTTCCACTCTCACCGCACCGCAGAGTCCAAGTATCTGCAGCCGGACGCGGCCAACTTCAACTCGTGGAGACGCCACCTGAAACTGACGGATAAAAAACAGTCTGAGGACATTCACCACGCGTGGGAGGATGTAAAGGCCATGTTCAACGGGGGGAGCAGAAAGAGGACTCTGCCCATGAACGGGTCAGGGATGTCCTCGTCGATGAAATCACAGGCCTCGTCCTCTTTGGCCCAAACCAGCTCCCCTGAGATCCCTCAAAAAACTTTACGGTGCGATGAGGATCAGGGAAATAATAACCTGAGTTTGGCGAGCGGCGCACGGACCTACCCAGTCATCCCAGTGCCCAGCAAGAACTTTGGCATGCTCCAGAAAATCCCCCCACCTCTGTTCCCCCACCACCCCTACGGCTTCCCCAGCTATGGGCTGTGTCAGAAAAAGAGCGATGGTGTGCCTGACGCGAACAAAACCAATGTCTCGGGTGTGTTTTGGCCTGGCGCAAAGGACGCCCTCTACCCTGCTTTCCCCATGTTCTGGCCTACAGCTGGCGGCCTACCAATGCCACCCTACCCGGGGTCTCCACCAAAACCTCTTCCAGAGCTGCCAGGCGTCCGGCAGGCAGAGCTCGACTTATCGGACCAAAGCGACCGGGGCGCAAACACACCCAAAGACACCAACCACCACCCTCACCACCAGCAGGACGGCGGAGAGCGCTGCTCCAGCTCCCAGTCCTCCTCCACCAGGAACGACGAGGACAAGTCCGGGGACGAGACCCCTCAGAGGAAAATCAGCTACATCTCAGCCTTCAGACCCGTCGTCAAAGACGCGGAGACCATCGCCAAACTCTACGGCAACCGGGACAGCTACGGCGTGCGCCCTGGCTACCTGTCCCCGGATTTTATCAGCGAGAGCTCCAGTTATAGGTCGATATCACCGGACAGGGACAGCGTGGTGGACGACGACGACGATGACCCGGACGTGGATGTGGAGTCCAACCGGGGACAAGACGAGGAGGAGCCGATTCAGATCTCACCGGGAGGAGACCACCACGGCTCCCCAGTGCCGGACCAGGTCTCCTCGGCTGCTGAGGAGAGACAAGAGCAGCCTGATGCCTCCAGCCCCGCAGCAGCAGCAGCAGCAGCAGCAGCAGCAGCGTCACCGGAGGACACCGTGCACACTGGGTCATCAGATGAGGACAGACGGATGCGTAATGGCTCTCCTCTTCATGAAGTAAGATTAGATTAAATGAAACTTTAATGATCCCCGTGGGGGAAGTGGAATTGTCGCAGTTGTGGAGAATATGAAAAGAGTTTATAGAAGAGACGAGGCCTATAAAAATGTAATCAAGATCAATTGGCCTGGAATAAAAAAGAATCCAGATGTAGACGGGCATATTCTCTAAATATTCATAGGAGTAAATGTTGACGGTGACCTAGTGTTCGGGGAAAATGTGCTGAAGTGTCGTTGAGCAAAGCAGCAAGGCCGATGTTTCCCTCTAGAATTAGTGAAATTGGCTTTAAAAAATCTACAAAGAGCAGCATTAATTTGTAGCCTACTAATATATCTCCTTTTACCATCAATGTAATCAAACCCCTAATTTATCCTGATTTAATTTTGATTTATTCCCATTATAATAAATCAGTGTGGCAATTATAAGATATTATTTCACCACCAAATTACTGTTTTTGAAAGCAACATCTTCACAAACAAATTACAGGGCTGCTGTGTTTCTGAAGAAGGAAAAAAAGGGCCTCAATTATGTGAAGAACTGCAGCAAATGACATGTAATTGCTGTGCGTTATGAAACGCGATTGTGCGCTTGGTTTTACAGGTGTACGCTCATGAAAAGGACGGACACGTGCTCCTGAGCGAGCCTCCGACATCGTTTGGATCCAAACACTCGAGCAGCCCCCGCAGATCCAACGGTAATTATTCAGGCAATTTATGGTTTTTGGGTTATTGATGCAAATGGGGGTCGTTTTGTGTGTATAATTTAATTTAAAATGTTTGTGGCTCGTTCATGTTTAGGTGTTCACCACGTGTCTGAAATACAGAGCCAACGCAACGCAACGTACCAGGAGCAGAAGGACAGACAAGGTTTTTAATTATTTTCTCTATATTTTTAATAGTAAAATTCAAAATCCACCTGTTTTATCTTTTTTAGCTGCTTTGATTAAATCCCACTGAAGCCTTTTGCAATATATGTGCCATATAGATGATTTACTGTGGGTTAAATTGTGTGTTTTATTGTTTTTGTGCAGCCGATGGAGCTTTACGCATCGATATCAGCGTGCATGAAAGGGATCTGGAGAACATGGCGAAAGGTAAGAGGCTGATTTCGGGATCAAAAGGAAATAAAAGGGAAAGAAAGGGTGTAGCAGGTGATATTAATTATCATCAGCAATTATTCCTTGTTTGATTTTTAATGTGCCAGCCTGCAAATATATATTTATGCAGCAGCCAGACGCAGCATGGTCACCACATTTAATTAAGGCAGCTTTTTATTTGTTATTTCTAAATGTAAGAATTAAAATTAAATCAAATATTGCCAATTAAATGCTATTTAGGTTCTGAATTTATAAACTCAAATTAAACTCGACCCTTCTTACGCTGTTTATCAAACATTTAAAAAAACGTGTATTTTATTAATATTAAACATTAAATTCAATCTTATTTTAATGCAGCCAAATGCCCACGGCCTGCTAAAGATGACGTGCCAAAATCCGAATGCGAATTTACATTTTGTAGGCCTAAAGTGTTTCCATAGTTGTTAACCACTTAATCACGAGATGTGGGAGTTTTGACTTATTATTGTAAGAGGAAATCGTTTAGAGGCTATTAATATTTTAACGAACAGAGCCATAACCCCGAGGCACGGCAGCTAATTATTTTACAACGCTTGGAAAAACCCTGGGACTCCATTATTATCGTCTCAACCTCCAGGCAATGCATGGCAATTACTGTGGCAGCGAGCGAGAGGAAAGCGGTGAAATGGTTGTTATCAAGGATGTAAACGCACCTGAAGTCGGTTTACTGGGCTGACATAAATCTTTATGTGCAGAAATTCAAAATATATCATAGTAAGTGGAATCAAATTGATGTGAGGTAGATGAGGACGGGAAAGATTTTTATATGTTTTAGCAGATATTTGTGTTACTGGTGGCTCTTCGCTTTGTGCTGCACCACATCCCTGCTCATGATTCAGGAGTCAGACGAGGGTGTGTTTCAGTGTTTGAGGGTGAATAATGATATTTCCTTGCAGCAGATGAAAATAAGTTGACACATATTTTGGCTTTTGGCTTTGCAGAGGAATTACAGAAGCAGCTTGTGGAGCAAGTGGAGTTGAGGAAAAAGTTGGAGAGAGAATTTCAGCATTTGAAAGGTAGGACACAAAGTGAGTGGAAGTCACAGAGAGATGTGTTGTGTTTGGGTCTGTGCTCGCAGCCTAGATGTCAGGAGGAGAGCCAGTTGTGTTGTTGTGTCCTTTGCATCCAGGAATGTGTCTTTAAATGTATCCCCACAATGTCAGAGAGTTTCCATCTGATGTGGCCTTCGGTACTCTTCAGATAATTTTCAGGATCAAATGAAGCGTGAGCTGTCCTACAGAGAGGAAATGGTCCAGCAGCTGCAGATTGTTCGAGGTTTGTCTCTCTCTCTCTGTACTTTGTGCCTCCATAGATTATGACTGTAAAGCGGATGTAGATCAATGCTCTTTAAGTTTATAGGAAAAATATTTGAGCCACACACAAAAGAGCGTTTAAGTAACATAGGCCATATCAATCAATCTGAACCAACGAGCCTCTGAACTAAAAAGAAAGGAAAAGTGACACTTGCATATTGAAATATTGGTGATTTGTGTCCAGCCTTTTTCCTGTAAACTCCATATTTTTCCCTCCTGCAGTTGAGTAAATCATTAGATATCAGAAGGTGAAACTGAAACCACGTTGTTTTGTTTGCAAAGGTTATTTTCTCCTAAATCATGCTCTGGAAAATTGAATGGACAGACCATTATGTAGTGCTGTATCGGTTACATGCAGTAGACAGCAACTAATGCCACCCGTTAAAGGATTGGTTTAATGTTACAGTAGTTTAAATACAGGGTTCAAGTACACAGAGGGGTCACTCTAAATACCATAGGGGCAAACGGCATACATTACACTCCTCTGCTTCAGATGCTACGCAGCAGCTCACATCTTCTTCTTTTTTTTTTTTTTTTACTCCTTTTTATTCCTTTTTTTGACCAATTTTTTATTTTTGGATAGACACTTTGTGCAGCGAGTTGGACCAAGAGAGAAAGGCTCGTTATGCAATACAGCAGAAGCTAAAAGGTAAATTTATCTGGCCCAAAAGAGGAACATGAATACATGTCATTTTGTGCCTACAAGCATAAATATGCAAGTGCTACTTTTTTTTTAATTAGTCATCTCCTGTGATCAGTGTGATCAGTATTTACAGTAAGACACCATTGAAGAATAGGTTTGCATTTTCTCAAGGCTGTTTTAAAACAACACTCACGGACCAATATGTGCATCAAACGTCCTGCTGGTCGCTTTAATTGTTCTTCCTGTCCATTCTGGCTGTAGAGAGATGCTTTCTGAAAGCAGTTTCACTGTAAGTGATGGAAAATCCACGATTATTGTTCTGTGCAAAACATTATTGAGGCTTCAGCAATCTGAATTTATCAAATGAAGTGTGTGTCCTCCAAATTCACAGTCCTTTTAGTGCACAATGTCCTATTTCTTTTAGTCACTAACTGACAAAGGTGTAGGTTTCATTTCAGCACCTCTGCAAGAAAATTTTGAGCATCACACATTCAATTTCCTGCTTTTTTACGCGACACTTTGCACCTTTTGTGCATCAGTTTATGGTGTAAATGTCTTCAATTTTATCAAAGTAAAAGTCCTCTGCTATTTTCATGTTTTTATTGGAGGGCAGCAAATGCAAATGTTCTAAATATGGAGGAGGATGCGTCCCCTGTGTCCTCCTCGAAATTTACACCTATGCTAACCCACTGTGGGGCTCAGCAAGGAAACAAAACACTGTCTATAGGTGTGTTTGTGTGCATAAAAAATACATTGCTCTTTAAAAGTAGAAATAGATCTTCGAAGAACGAGATAGTAGTGCACTTGAGGACTGTCTTTGTCATGTGATACTCAAGAAAAAATGCAGGTTATCTTGAAGAACAGGGTCAGTGCATGGGAGGAAGAAATAATGAACTTCAGGCACTTATTCATGGAGCAAGAACAGATGCATTTGAATTAAGTTAAAAAGCCTTTATTTCAAAAGACGGCTGCTGACATTAAAGCACCGAAATAGATCTATTGTAAAAGTGTTTTACACTCAATAAAAGCAAGATGTAACTAAGTGCAACAGAAAATAAATCATGACCTGTGTGGAATATGTAACTTATTGTCCACTGAAGAGACTAAAATAGGAGCAGACAAAATGTCAGATCTGTGTGGAGCAATGAGGAGACTAAAACCTTCCTCTTTCATTTATTCATGTTAAAAAACATAAATGCCATATCTCCATCACCCTCTCCACATCCTTCTCTATTGGTCTGACTGTCGCTTTCTTAATGACATCATCTCATTGCACCTTCTTCGTCTGTTATGGTTTAACAGCATCCAACTGGAGAGTAAGTGCCAGTGGTGTCATGGTGGGGTGAAGAGTGGGACTGATTACCCAGGGCCCCGATGGGAGGAGGGCCCTTGAAAAGCCTGGAATGAAAGGCTCGGGTTTGTTTGCAATTAATGCCGTAATTGAATTAAAATTGGCTGAATAACTTGGTTGAAAGACTGAACTTTATATAAAAACAAAAGTGGAAGCTCTCTAACTTCCCTCTTACCCTTTCAAGGTGGAAAATGGTTTACTCCGCCCCTGCACTAGGATTTGTCTCTAAACGCAGCAGGAGCTGAGTGACTGTGTGCGCTGCTGCAGCACCAGAGTCTGTCCTCAAGACTGGGAACATCGAGGTTCCCAGAACGAAATTAAAGGAAAAAGATAGAGAGGAAACTGACTTTGTGAAAAAAATTAAAAGGTGCATGAGAGAGACATGAATCAAGAGAGGAAGGGCAGGGGGCCCACAGAGACTGCTAAGGCGTAGGGCCTAGAATTTGGTGCTACGTCCCTGATTAGCATCACCAGCTGTTTATCTGTGATGAACAAACTCCTGATTCTCATTTTCCTTTACCAATTTTCTGATCCTTCATTTGAAATGTAAACTACATTTGGATGAAATCACAAAGGGCAAATTTAGTACTAAAAAAATATCAAGTGGAGGATACCAACTTCATTTGTGTAACTCAGACTACTGAAGCCTCTCAGTTAGCTTCGGCTAGACTTCAGAAGTCATTCTTACACAGAACAAGGACTGTGGATCACAAATTATGTCAGTAACAGATTTCTGTATGACCTGTATGGACATGGAGGAGCTATTAACACCAAGGTGACAACAAAGAAAAATGGCAATGAAGGCTAACAGATGTGTCGCCTCATGTCAACTGTGTATCAGGCAAAAAGCTGCACCTGAACACACTGCAAAGACTACAGCCTGTGGCCAACTAGCACATATGCGTCTGCTCCTGTGTGAGAGGAAATAACTCTCCATACCAACAGGCGGCGGTCGTTTCTAGTCGACATTTGAAAGGGAAACCGGACGACTGACAGGAGGGATTCATGATGCTAGTTAGCCAGTTAGCATATTAACAACACAACCTGGTGTTAAAAGAACAAAGGATATTTATCATGCGCTAGCAAACGCAAACACAAACACTTACGAACTGCTTCTGCTAAAGAGCTAATTGGCGAAAAAAATAATCTTATCTCGTATAACAAGTTTGTTTTGATCTCACGCTCTCTTGACTTTAGTCGTTGGTTGCTTCCTCACTTACGTTTATCTTCTCGTGCCCTGAGCTGAACCGCCAATCAGGTTGATTTCATTCATGCATGGGCTCTGCCATCTTTAATGCTGATTCAACATCCTGAATCAGCTGGGAAAAAAAGCCACAAGGGCAAACGGTGCAGGACACACCACCAAAACTAGAGCGCTCACCAACAGCCGGCTGTCAGCTTTATGTGTCAGGGCCTTTACAATGACCAAAAACCTGTTTCAGTGTACATATGAGCATGTGAGTATTGTTTTAAGACAGACTTAATAAAATGTGAACCCATCCTTTAACATTAAAAACAACATACACCTGTACATGAAACAATAATCAGTGATAGTGTTTGTGTGTGTCTGCATGTTCTCACTGATGGACTCGTTCCTCCCCAGAAGCTCATGACGCCCTTCACCATTTCTCCTGCAAGATGCTCACCCCTCGTCAGTGCACCGGAGCCTGCACCTTCAAACCTCCGCTGCTGCCTCCCTAGTGCCCGGCACGACCCCTGCACCTGACCTCAGCACAGCCAAAAAAAAACAAAAAAAAACACACTCACTGGTCTGCCTCGAGAGCTCTCATGTGTTCACCTTCCACCTGTAACCCGAGGATTACCAGCCTGCTGTATAGATACACCACTGATTTTAGCACTTGAGCTAAGACTCGGAGAAGGTTTCGGCAGCGACCTCTCCGCCCTGAAAAACTGAACTCTTGACTTAAAGAGATCTTAAGTTCATTTTATGTTGTGAGTCGAAGGATTGTTGATCTGAAGCTGCGAAGCTCAAACCAAGGAGTCTCTCTGAATCAAAGTCGTCTGCTCTTTAGCTACTCTGAGAATAAGAAACAACACTATATACATATACATATATATATATAACACGTGACGATGTGCAATGGCTCGTATAATTGTGATATTAAGTTCAAAATCTCATTATTTAGTTTTTGTTGCTTGTTTGAATGAGTTTTTACATTTATTTGTTTATTTATCTTTGGTTTAATTTATTGTTTAGATTATTTATAACACTGTATATGTTGTTAAGCACTTTAAATGGGCAACATTTCTGAATTTGATCATGCCATCCGATACCAAATTCTTTTTATCAAACAATACGAGGATCTTTATGTTTAAGACAGAGAACATTCTTATGAGCACTTACTTAAACAAGCCGGTCAGGTTTCACATCAAACAAAAGATTTTCTGTCAAACTTTGAAGTGATGATTTAAAGAAAATAAACTGTCTTGAGCCATTTATAGATTTCATGTACAGTTGAGACTATTTTGACACAAATTTGATCCCATAAATTTCTCTGTTTCAGGGTTTTTTCTATCATGACATGCATCTGTGAGTCACAACAGACAAAACCAAAACCTTTTCCTGTCATCTGAAGGTGTTTTTATAAGACACTGTATGAGGTGTGTGTTCAATCTGCCATTCACACAGCTGCGTTTATGTTCTCTGTCACAATCTACCCATAATTTTCCCATTTATGTATGTACCCATGTCAATATTAATAAAATGTGAAAGCCACTTTCTGCTCTTTGTTCCTCTCTCTGGTGTGAGCCTGACACCTACTGGCCTCGGCACAGAAGAGCTTCTCCTGAGATGGATCATATTTCCTCTTATTGTATTTGAGTTCAACATGATCTCTTTCATTAGGCGGCTACATCAGTGCATGACATGTCCAGTCAACTTATAATGTTTGACGTCGAGTCAGGGGAGCAGGCTGATCTAATAGTGAAATCTAATTCTTCTGATGGGAGGGCTAATAGATATTGATTACACGGCTCTCAGTCCCTGGATGCTTCATACTGAGACAGATACTCGCATAATGTCACTGACACACAATGAATGTTAATTTTCTGTGAGCGTAATTGCCCTCCGTGGCAAAGCCGGTTCCCTTTGAATACTAACAAGGCCTGCGGAGATGAACAGAACTGAAGTACTGAAGTAATGTGGGAACCATCAGCTGCTTTCATACAGTATGTTTTTATTCAGCTGTTTGATATTAAGAAAGAAAGATTTAGGCTGATATGTGGTGACAAGTGTGGATGGGTTATGCGACACTGGGGCCCTGAGCACAGACACGTCAACCCCCCCCCCACTCATCATGCTTAAGGGAAAGACTCAAAGAGGCTCAAAATGATTGCAAACTACAAATTACTCTCTTTGTAGTGGTTTTGTGTCTCTTTGTCGTTGTATTGTGTCTCTGTGTGGTTGCTTTGTGTCTCATTGCAGTTGTTTTGCATCTTTTTGTGGTTGTTTTATGTCTCTTTGTAATGATTTTGCATCCCTGTGCAGCTGTTCTGCGTCTCTTTGTGGTCATTTTGTATCTTTGTGTGGTTGTTTTGCATCTCTTTTGGTCATTTTGAGTCTCTTTGTGATGGTTCTACATGTCTGTCTAGTAGTTTTGCATCTCTTTGTGGTAGCTTTGAGTCTCTGTGATAGTTTTGTCTCTTTGTGATCATTCTGCATCTCTGTGCAGTTGTTTTGCGTTTTTGTTGGTCATTTTGCATCTCTTTATGATGGTTTTGTGTCTCTTTGCGATCTATTTGCATCTCTGTGCTGTTGTTTTGTGTCTCTTTGTGATGGTTTTGTGTCTCATCTAGTTGTTTTGCATGTTTTTCCAGTTTTGTTTTGTTTTGCGTCTCTCTGCAGTTGTTTTGCATCTCCTCTGGTCATTTTGCATTTCTTTATGATGGTTTTGTTTCTCTTTGTAGTCATTTTGCATCTTGTATTCATTTTGCATCTCTTTGTGGTGGTTTCGCTTCTTAGCATGGTCAGTTTGTGTCTCTTTGTGGTCATTTTGCATCTCTTTGTGGATGATTTGTGTCTCCTTTTACTAATTTTGCTTCTTTTTGTGGTTGTTTTTCTTCTCTTTGTGCTCATGTTGCAACTCTTTGTGGTCTTTTTGCGCCTCTTTCTAGTTATTTTGCTCCTTATTATAGGCCTAGGAATCCCCTGACCCCTTGGGCTCCTGGGCCTGTGCCCAGTAGGCCCATTCAGTAATCCTTAATGGTGACAAGTGAGGGGGAAAAAAAGTCTCCTCCAAACAAGGTGATTTCTAGCTTCTCTAAAACCCTGCAAAGCTGAAATGCAAACTGAGGACAGAGGGCCTGAGAGCTGCTGACTACAGGCATGATGAATTATTTAATGATAATTTCGTAATTATACAACTTTAAAATTTAAAGTATGACTGAAGGCGCTCATTGAAAATGTGCCCCGTGTTCGCATATTGATCCATGATGCATATGTGACGCACTGGCAATAAAATACATATAAATGAGATAAAGTGACGGACACAGTTTACACATCACCACAACTTAATGACTCGACAAAATATTGTTTATTAGTAAATAAATAAATAATTAAAGAGGAGGTTCTGAGAAAAAAAAGTATTTAACAAATAAAGCAACGGACAATATGCAGTATATTATATATGCTTTTTTGCCTTGTAGGTCACACACAGACACACACACACATGCACAATCTTATTTTATTTGTAGTATGTATTGTTTTAGGTTGGGCAATATGACAATAAATACCTGGAAAATATTAATTTACAGAGTTTGTCATATGTCTCTCACTCACACAGAAATTTAAATCATGGTAAATGTTGCAGGTCGACAGGCAGCGACTGCTATATGGCAATATTGAAAGTGTATATGACTTTAGTATCAATGTCAAAAAGTGCCTTTATTGATCATACATTTAACTTGCTGAGGAAGCGCCTTTAAGTACATTCAAAAGTCAAGCAATCAAAATTTTATTTAAGTATAAGGAAAGACGTTTTGACAACAAAATGTACTTTAAGTATCAAACATAAACATACTTTTTTTTTAATGCAGAATGGGCCCCGGTGTTATATTTAATTATAGATATTATTATTGATGCATTTCATTAACCATGTAAGCAGCATTTTAACATTGTAGCTGGTCAAGATGGAGGACATTTGTTTACTATTTTATATTGTTTGCATAATTTCAGAAATAACACTGCACCCTATTTTAAAAACTGCCCATATGTTTTAAATGTAGAACTATAATCTGAAAATAACCAGTAACTTTAGCTGTAAGTTAAATGAACTGGTGTAAAAAGTGCAATAATCCTATAAGAAATGTATTGAAAATGAAAAATACGCAAGTAAAGTACAAGTACCTCAAAACTGTAATCAAGAAACATACTCAGAATTTCTTTCCAGCACAGTGATAAGACACTTTTTAATCCAAATATTATATCCACAAATGGTTTAATTTTCTATATCATGACATGACATATGTAAAGTGATATATTGATATCACAATATAACATTACGTATACTACACTGTAATGATGGATTTTATCCATGTAGCTCACTCCTAGTATTGTTTTACAGCCAAAGGATTTATAAGGAAAAACAGTTACAAATACTTTACTACACGTCTGTTTTGGTGGTTGTATATCACAACAATTACAAAAAAAGTGCTTAGAGGAAATAAATAAACAAGCCAAAAAACAAACAAGCACATATACTGAGATAAATGAGGAAGGAACTGAGGAAGAAAACAGAACATCAAAGTTCAAGTCATTTTCCATTGGATTCCTGATTAAGACAGTAATCTCTAATATCTGATATTTTACATCACTCCTCTTTTACTGTCTCAAAGTCCCACAATAACAGTGGAAATACGATTTTTTTTTTTCCACAAACATAGAAAAACATAATAAAATTTCCAAATGAAAATGTGTCATGTTCCTTCCCCAGTAGTTATATTTCACAGGCATTAATCGCTGGTACCAAACAAAACTATGATCATTACAGAACAAGTGGGAGGGATGGCAGTTGTCAACTTATATACAGGTGTCTCAGGTAAAGTCTGGTCTTTGGGGGTTTGATAAAATCAGGCCACCTTGACCATATATTGGTGAATTTATGTCGTTGTATTCTGAGGGAAGTTTTGATTGTTTTTAAAGTGATCATCTGTTCAGATTTCCTGCTGCTCCACACTAAGTGCATTTACACAAGCTCACATTAAATCCATACACTGTAATATCAAGCATTTTAAAGAGGAACATATTGTACCACAGTATTTGCAGTGTATACCTTTATTTGCTTGTATAAACATGTGTGGCCAGTGGACACCTGTCCCATCAGCGGCCATCAACAATGCAGCAGATGGCAGTGATGCATAATGATATAATAAAGCCTCTGTGATTCTCTCGTATGAAACAAGCAGCACAACTAGTTTGTCAATAGATTCTTTGTATGAGCCTCGAGGGAAGGAGCGGGCATAAAGCCTAATGTGTTTGGTGTTATAGTGGATTTTTGGTCAGTATGGAAGTATAGAAGCATTATACTGAGCAGAGACGTGACTGCAGAGGGACAAACAGGCTACAAACCACTGAGGAGGATCTGGACCTGAGAGTTCACTTCATGTTGTGGTGGATTAATTTGAAATGATGGGGCGCCACCTACTGGCTTTATCAAATCCTTCACCTGGCTGTGAGCTTTTGCTGTTACAGTCTTGTACTTCGGAAAGATTTTTGTGTGATTTAGTGTCTGATTGAGACATTTATCTGACTCGACTTTAACCTGGTTGTATAGAGAAGGCAGTGGCATCAAACTGAATCCCCAAGTGACAAAAGTCTTCAATTTATTTCAGGGTTTTATAACCATAATTTTAGAAATACACTTCTCACCCCTACTCTACTCTCCAACATTGTTTTTACATTTTCTTAATGATTTTGAGTTTTCAGATTTCATGTATTCAGGTAAAGGCAGCAGCGGAGGAAGCACTCAAATCCTTAACTTAAGTAAGTTAGTAAAACAAAAGTTTAAAAATCCATTTAACTACAAGTAAAAGTCCTGAATTCAAAATGTTACTTAAGTAAAGTACATTAGTATCATCAGAAAAATGAGGTTAAAGTAACAAACGTAAAAGTACTCATTATGCAGAAGGGCTCGTTTAGATGATATAGTATTATAGAATATTATATTATTATGATTTTATCACTAATGAATGCATGTTGGAGCATGTTCATTTTGTAGATTTGTCAGTTTGGAGCCAATTTCAGATACTTTGTGTACTACTGGGGAGATTAGTGGTTTTGCATTGCATTACATAATGTAAGCTTAACTTTTTTCATGTAAAAACTAACCTGTAACAACAATTAATAATGATTATGATTTATATTGTACCTTTAAAACTGAATTTACAAGGTGCTTTGACAAACAAAGCAAAAGCCGAAACAGGACAGTCAGAGGGCAATACGACAACAGAAAGCCGAACATTACCAAAACACAAGTGAGACAAAATTAATGTAAAGTTGAGATAAAGTTAAAACAAGAAGACAAAAAAAATGCAAAATGTCAATTTGAATAAATACAAATAAAAAGAATCAAAGCAATAAAAATATGAAATACAATGAAATAAGAAGATGACATCACGTACAAGAAAGTCTTCAAAGACAGGGTTTAAAAAGTGATTAAAAAAGAAGTCACTGATTCTGCAAACCTCATCCTCAGGCAGGGGTGTCGTAGTTGAGGGAAA